CCCCCCCAGGGCACATCAAACAGCTTCACTGTGCTCAGAGCCTCCCTGGCTCAAATGCAGGGGGGATTCGGAGGTCAAGGTCCTCAGCCTGGATACAGCCTCTAGTACTGGCTTGGGGACCAGCATCCTAGGGCTGGAGACCTTTCCTCTCCTTCCAGCTCTGCCCTGAACTTGCCGCGTGCCCTCAGGGATCTTGAGCCTCGGCTTTCTGATCTAAAAGAGAACTGGTCCGGTCAAATGCCAGACGGGGTCTCAGGGTAGGAGATGGTAACAGGGAGCCATACACGAGAGACTGGGCTTGGGCTGGGAGCCAGGCAGGGCTGCAGAGCTGCTGCCTACCTGGGCCCACCTCTGGGGACCACATTCCTGCCACTTTGCTTGGCCTAGACGGACATTATGGCTTCAGTGTCTCCTCTTGTCATTCATCCTGCCAGAATCATAGCAACTTAAGATTTTATAAACTTCACCCAGAAAGGAGCCACCCACTGGAGACCCTGGAGTAGGGCAGACATCCCTGGAATGGGAGAGACCCAAGCTTCCAAGCAAATACAGTGAAAAGGCAGAAATTGGGTTGGAAGGCAGGTTTGGGGGTCTATGGCCTTGGGTTGGAGGCCTCCCGAGTCCAGTCCTGTACCCCAGGCAATACCCCAACGCCTTCCCCACTAGAGTTGCACTCCTGCTGGAGAATGAGCCCTTTAACCAGCAATGGTTTTGTCATCCCCATGGCGGGCCAGGTTCACCTCCCTTCGCTGGTTTCCCCGGAAGGCCAGAAAAATATAGCTAGAGCGGAGAAGGAAGAAGAGAAGCGAGGGAAACCGGAGGAGGACGCTCCTGCCTCCAAGAGAGGGGAGCCGGCGAGGATCAGAATCTTCGAAGGAGGGTAAGAAGCGCGTTTGGTTTTCAGCTTCTGCGGCCTGTGGCATACACAGGGCTGGCCAGCGGCCAGGTAGACCAGCCGTGTTCGGAGGCAGCGAGCATCTCAAATGGCAGGGCTGTGGCTCTGAGGTTCTGGGCGGTGCCTTTCAGCAGACGTCCCCTTCACGGGACTCACAGGTCACTCTGTGCTTCAGTGAGCTGGGTTCTCCGGTGCAGGGTGGGAGTGAGGGTGGGAGAGGGGTCCTCATGCCGATTAAGAATCTGGAAATGTGTGGGTTCCATGGTGAGTCTCTCTGGCCCTGCCTGCCTTGCAGGGTTCCCTGGAAGTCACCTCTGGATGCCCACGTGGCTACCTGGGTCTCTGGTCAACCAAATTTCCTGAGGGTGCTGGGCTCTGCCTCCAGCACACAGCCCCACCAGTGTCACGCCGCTCCCTTGCCGGAGCTCAGAGCTGGCTCAACGGTTATTCAATATTGTGACTGTCATTTCTGGTGATTCGCCTTTGCTGCTCATCTTCGGAAACTTAAGGATGGAAATACCCCAGAACTCACAAATTGAGAGTCTCCAGGCTCCAGGGAGGTGGGGGGAAGGTGGGTAGACTTTCAGACTTGCTTTGTGGACGTTTTGTGCAAGCTGTGTTCTGTGTGACCACGTGTTCGCTCCCTGGAACTTGGGGTGTCTGTAAGCAGGTCCCGTGGTGTCTGTCTCAGGGTCCTCTGTCTGTGTCTCTGGTGTCATTGCTGCAGCCCTTGTCCCTCCTGACCCCGGGCGGGGGGGGGGGGGCACCGTGGGAAGGAAGTCTCACCTCCTGGGGGGCATCCCGATGAGTGGCCAGTGTGGGGCTCTCACTTGGGGAAGGGGGAACTCTGATTCAAGTTTCCAAGTCAAAGAAGGGACTCGGGTCTCCCCCATAAGGCTGATGAGCTCCCCCAGGCCACCCGCCTCCAGCCTCCAGTGGCCCTGACTAGCCAGGCTTTAGGGGAGAAGGGACTTGGAAATGGGAAGGGGGATAGTGGTAGGTTGTCACAGTGAAGGAGAGGGGACCAGGGAGGGTGAGCATCTTGCAGTGGGTGTAGAGGGGCATTCTTCCTTGCAGGGGCGGTGGGGAGAAGCAGCCTGTCCCCAATCCCAAGACCAGCTCTGCAGAGGGACCCTGGACCACAGGTGCAAAGGCAGGGCCTCCCCATTTGGGGAACAAGGACTTCGGCTCCTGCCGCTTGGCTAGAGCGCCCCGTGTGTTTCCTCCTGTCAACAGGCCTTCTCCAAGGCCACCCGGAAGACATCACAGCTGGGGCACAGCTGGTCTCAGGGACTCGGGGTCTTTCGGGCCCAGCTTTTCTCCGTGGTTCCTCCACTTGCTCACTCGCTCAGCGCCCGGGCTGCTGAGAGTCAGCTGGCAGCCAGGGGCACACCTTCTGCCGCCCCCTGGAGTTCAGCGTGCCCAGGGAGGGCTTCACTCCTGCCTGAGCATCCCCTGCCTGCAGACTGCAGGTCCTGCTGGCCAGCAAGTCTTGATTTGGCCCAAACGGAACACCAGTGAAAAAAGGGGGAATTGCGCCGGTGCAGTGGCAACACTAGCCCGTGCTACACAGTGCTGGAACTCAAGGTGCCACCCCTCGCGGGCAGGGCTGGCCATGAACGGCTACCCTAATCCCAGGGTTGTGTAACCACACCCCTTCCAGGCCTGACACCCACCTCACCCCCGAGTGGCTGCCCAAGACTCCTCCCCACTCAGTGGCCAAGGTAGAGACCTGCCTCTCAGACCCACTGAGGTCACCAGGACACCCCTGCCAGTGTGAAGAATTACCATGGTGACGGTGGCACTTGCCCTGAGAGTTGTCTGGACTCTGGCTTTCTCGTCCTTGTCATGGGACAAGGACTCTCGAGTCATTTTGGTGTCACTCCCTCTGACAGTGTCTGCATCCACCACCACCCCCAGCCCCCCAGAGTGGTGCCGCTGGTCCTGTGAGCTGTGGGTGGAGCGGCCTCTCCTTCTTCTAATGTCTTCCTTCTTTGGTCCATCGGACGCTCTCAGACGCCTTCCTTCCCTCCTGTGGCTCTGAAGACCATCCTCCGTGACCCCAGAAGCTTGGGCCTGGGGAGGGACAGAGGCCAGAAGCCTCTCTTCTGGTGCTAAATTCTGGGAGCTGCTGCCCATCTCTGCCCACATGGTCAGCCTTCAGGTGAAAGATGACACCTGAGCACCACTCCCACCCCACCCCCTCCAGGAAACAGCTGCCTGGTCCTCCAGAGTCATTGGCTCAGTCATTCTCCACAAGTCTAGACCTGGGTCTCCTTCTCCGCTACACCCCACATCCATTCTCACCCCAGACTGTCACTGCTGGGCTTCGGGGCCTCTCTCTTCCAAGACGCACGTCTCTAACCCCAAACCGTTCTCCCACTTCCCTTAGATGATCCCCTCCCCCTGTCTGCCCCGCAGTCTTCTCGTCTGTAAATGGGATTGGTAAGATGGTCCGAGGGCCCAGTGGTTCCGTTAGCCTGTACTTGCAGAACAAGTGGAACCCTACTGTGTGTGTTATCACTAGTCTAGTTACTCTGGTCTGTCGCCTGTGAAGATCATCCCTGTGTTAGGCCGGTCTGACTAGAGAAACACATTCCGTGACACTCATATATGTTTGAAAGAGACCTCATATCAGAAAGTTGATATATATCAAGCAAACAGCCCAGCCCAGACCAGCCCAAGTCCATAACTCCGATATTAATCCATAGGTCTGCTACTAGCCCATAAGTCCCTTTTCAGACTCACACAGCCACATGCAGTGAGGCAGAATGCAGGAAGATCACAGGCTGGTGGGTGCAAACTTGTGTGGATTCAATGGTGGTGGACGCATCTCCAGCGCTCTGGTATGTCTCAGAGTGGCTCTCTGGCATGAAGGTAAAGGCAGAAAGAGTGTGTGTGTGTTGGGGGGTGGGGGGGTGGTGGAGGGAGATTGTCAGGATCCTTCTTATGAGAAGGCCACACCCACAAGGAGGTACCATCAGGCTGTGACCTGATTGACAGACTAGACTCCACCCCTACACTTCTATCTATCAAGTTGACATGAAATTATGTAACTAATACAATCCGCATTCTTTAACCTTGCCGCATCCAATTTGAGTACTTAGGGGGTGTTTCTGTCTGGTTGTCAGTCATGGCATCTTCTCCCCTCAGGTCGGTGGCTTCATCTGGGGACCCACTCTGTCTCTCACCCTTGTTTCTAATGACCCTTTTACACTCATGACCCTTTGGGAGCTGGTGGCACTCCCGCCAGGAGAGTTTGGAAGTGTGGGCTTGGGAGAATCTGTGTCACACAGCTGGGAGCACTTCCGATACGCCATGGGTGGGTCCGGGAGTGCCTACTCTCCACACAATCAGCACTTGTCCCCTAACACCCCCGCCCCCGAGAAACACTGAGCTGCACATCCATCTGTAGGGACCAAGGTTTTGCCTTCGACTCATTTCTCCTCCTCCACTTATTCCTGCTTTTTCCTTTTTCAACACGGTCAGTGTTTCTGTTTCCTGTCGTGGATGGGGATTTGCAGCAGAGCTGTTTTGGAGGGAAGCAGAGCGAGTAAGGAGGGAAAACGGGTGCCTTGTGCGGGACTCTTCAAGCTTCCACTCAGAAGCCGGGGCTCACATCTCACGGACCAGAGCCGGCCACCTGGCCTCAACTGACCTCACAGAAATAGGAAAGGCAACCCTGGCCTGTGTCTGGAGGGACCTGAGGTGGTCCGTAGACAGCACCCATGCCTCCGCCAGCCTGGTTGGCCATAACATCTGCAATTTGCTACTTTATTCAGCAATGTTCTTGAGATGCATCTGTATTGAAGCCCGTAACTCTGGCGCATACGGATGAGTTCATAAGCCAGACACAGATGAATAGAGCTGTAAGAGTCTAACTTCCTTCAATCTTTTTTATTACTAGTTAATCTCTGGTTTCTACTTTTCATGACCTCCAACCCAGTGGTCAACCAATTAACCAGGCCATCAGGAATGATGGGTTTGATCAGTGCCTCTCGGGTCCCTTGGGCCAGATGATGTCAGTGGCCCTGGACAGGTAAACAGTTGTTCAGCTCGAAGACTGATTTACAAAATAGATAGGCGCATGGGCTGCCAGGACCAAGAAGCTGGCAGCGGGAGAGCAGGACCCCTAGAGCTGGAATAGCCAGAGTGGACATGGATCTCGGCAGGGAAGGATGGGCGTGACAAGGACAGGCAGAGAGGCAAGGTGGCTTGGTCAGCTGCCCCACCGGGAAGGTGAGTCATGTACCAGGCCAGGTGGACTTGGCTTGCTGCCCCTGCGCATTCTCCCTTGCCAACGCCATTTATCTCCCTGCCTTTAAACCTCATCTCGGTGTCAGGAACAGAACCTCTGGATCTCCAGCTAGGACCTCACTCCTGAACTGCAGACCCTTTGGGACATCTTTCCTGGGGGACCCACAGACAACTTCAAGTCAGCACGTGCCAACCCAGCCTTCCACTCCTCCTTCTGTGAAAGAAAATGAGAACCAGCTCTCTCACAATAGCCAGGGGACCAGGAGGGGCACAGTCACAATGAAGACACAATAGATAAGATAAACGATAACAAAGGTGAGGCGTAGGGGATTCCTGAAGCATAGACACTCCAGGGTCCAGAACTTCAGTCGAGACAGGTTTAGATGCAGTTCTTGTCACATATCCTGCATTCTGTGACAAGTTCTCACACACGGGGATTGTTGACAGCTTGGTTTGAAGGCAAACCAAGGAGCGAGACTATCTTTAGCCAGTTAGGCTATGGTCTGGAGGGGAGTCTAACTGAACACCTGCAGATCGCAGTGTTTCAGCTGTTTCCCGGGGAATGGGAGGGAAAGAGTTTACATTATCTTGGTTGAAGGTCAGACTTTCAGTGTTTCAGCTCCATGGAAAAAGCTGACAGCTTTCCCCCCACAGCCTTGCTTAGATCATAAAATATGGCGACGGTCCTGTCTTACTCGAGAAAGGAAAACGAGTTACAGACTGTCCCA